TGTTGTTTTATTTTGCTGTTAGCCATTTCTATTATATTGATTGAATTAATTATTTGTGTTAGTTTATTGTTGCATGCTCTTCTTTATTTCGTATTTGGAGTTTCTGGTTTTAGTTCGGTAAATTGCTATTGTTCAATTTAAGTTAGATTGTTATTTTTATTGTTTCCTTTTAACTTTTACCATTAGTTTTATTTAAATCATTACGAGTAAGATTGGCCAATGAAAAAAATCTCTCCGTCTGTTTTGGAGGCCTCATTTTAAAAGACGGAAATTTAGTTTATGTTTATATTTTGGGGAAAATGCATTAGTACCCCCCCCCCCCCCCCCAGCCTATGCCGGAAATCCCAGAGACACACCTAACCTTTACTAAGGTCCTATTAACCCCCGAACTTAATTTATCTATAATATTCTACCCCTTTTCGGCCTACGTGGCACTATCCCTGAAAAAATTGTCAACGTGCGCTGGACCCACAAGATAGTCCCACGTAGGCCAAAAAGGGGTAGAATATTACATATAAAATAAGTTCGGGGGGGGGGGGGGTAAAAGGACCTTAGTAAAGGTTAGGTGTGTCTCTGGGATTTCGAGCATAGGCTGGGGGGGTACTTATGCATTTTCCCTTATATTTTGTTTGTTAAAATGGGCCGATGAAGAAATTACCTTCGATTTCCAAGGCCTCCTATGTTTATAAGATGGGTTTTATTTTAAGTTATTATTTAATTCATATATTTTTACTCATATTTATTTATTATAAACACTTTTATTAATTGTTTTTACAGGTATACGGAGTTGCTTCCCATTGAAGCTATTCAAATGAAGGTCGAACTATGTTCTTTATTCATCATTTTGTATATATCGATATTAGCCAAACCTTAGGTTGTTTCTTACATTATTTTTTTATTTTATTACTTGTGTGTATCACATGCTTATTATACTTGTATATTTGTTTTTATCTCCTCCTCAATTTGAAAAAATGAATTCAGTCAGAACCCACAATTGTGGATTTTGAAGGATGCCTATCACCTTTCTTTCGAAATAATTTCAACCCCTTACCTAGAATCTATTCATTTCGTAAACATTTTTTTAAAGTTAATTTATTTATTAGTTTCCTAGTTTTTTCTAAAATTAGGTGGCGACTCCCTTTTACCCTTTTCCCTTTTAAAATTCTTTTAAATTGAATAACTATTTTTTGGTGAGTCACCGCGAAGTTGGGCCCTCTCAAAGGATGTCAACACTGACATTACTCTTGCTTTGCCTTTTTGGCATAGTCTGGATGCAGGGTCCGTGATGTTTCATTAGGTGAAGATGAAGAAAATCTCCAACAACTTCTATCTTTCCTTCCGGATTGTGGGAGCTGTGTGTTTTCTATTGTTATACCCTGTAATCTTAGAAACTCTTGTGCTTGTTTAGACTTGATCCCTTGGGGTGTTAATTACTTTACAAGTCTTAACTTGAAATTGATTACAAACTCTTATTTATAAAACCGGGAAATGTTATTTATCTCAGTTTTCTTTAATCTTCCGCAAGGTTTAAATCATTGGGAATCGAGGGTTCACCTACTTGGGTTTTAGAGTAGGTGCCCGCATGGCTGTGTGGGTTGGGTCGTGCTAGTAATTAAGCTTCAATATTTGTGTAATACACTTTTGACACAAGTTTAATTCATTTTGTAGTTTATTGGTTGATTTGTTACGGTTGGATTACTTGTTTGATTTATTATTGATAAAAATCTTATTCAGTTTACAGATCAGAAAATGCGTATTCGATTGCTACATTTTGTTTTCATGTTTGATTCTTTTCTTATTTAACTTTAATATGTGTTAATGCATTTTTAATTCAAGTTGCAGTTTATTATGTCTATTCATTTATTACAGAGATGACATCATATCTTCAAATATCACTTTCTCCTGTGAATTCACCTTTAGATATGAGGAAGTATAGGCCACAAAGATGACATAATAACTTCGAATCTTCATTTATTCAAATCTTCAAACATTCATTTCTTCATATATTCATATCTTCAAATCTTCATTTATACAAATACTCAAATCTTCAAATTTTCATCAAGTATGAACATAATTATTTATATAACCTTCATTAGAATGGAAATCGTCGACAACGCCAAAACAACATATAAAAAATTAAACGACTTCTTCTATAAATTAAGCAGCCCGAATTCTTCGATTTCTAAAAATTTCCTTACTCTTCTATAGATCTTCAACCATTGATAAAAGCTCTTTCTTTAATAATATTGAAAGATCAATGAAGAGCATAGAGAAAGAAGGGGTGCAGGGAGAAAAAGAAAGAGAGAAAGAGCATAGAGAGAGATGGTGCAGAGAGGAAAAGAAAGAGAAAAAGAGCATAGAGAGAGAGAACGTTGGGGACCACCCATTTTTGTACCAATTCGACCATATTTTAACGAAATCCTTATGCCCAAGATGTTGTGAAACGTTGGGGACGTAAGGGGAGTGGCATGCTACGTTTTTCTATCAAACTAGAAACCTATGTTCAACTTTTGCAAAAACTACCCCAAAACATATTATAATCAACTGTTTAATGTCATTCAAGCGTAGTTAAGTAAGTAATGAAGTAAAGAGAGTAAGGAACAATAACACTACCTTGATTTTGATGTCCCAAGAGAAGCGTTTGAGAGAATTTTTTGAAAATTTGTGAGTAGAGAAGGAGGAATAGGGAAACCATTCCCCTTTCCACCTTAAATTGTTTTCGATTTCCCGCTATTACAGGAGATATCTCGCCACAACGGCTCCACCTCAGCGGGAGGCCTACCGCTCTGGCGGGATCAAACTGTCTAAATGGGATTGCGTTCTTTTCTTTGAATGTTGACTTAATTCCCTGATCGGTCCTTTGAGTATAAAATCTTTTGGGTGCAGATTTAAAAAAGCCTCCACTCTTCGTGATTCCGTAATGGACCAACTCGTTAGTCTAAAAAATACTCGAAGATAGAGCGTGTAATGACCCCTCTGCTAGTCATTCGGGATGAACGAGGGGTTAATTGGTATCTATTATAATAACCCGAGCCGTCGTTTGTTAGGAAAACAAAAACATTGGGATAAAAACTAGGCCACCAACTAGAGCGGGACAGATACTACTAGGGCGGCGACGCTCTAGTGGGGTAAGTCACCACCAAAGCGGGATAGGCGAAACAGAACTTAAATAACACGAAGTCTAATTTTCTCCTTGTTCCAAAAAACACTTAAAAGATGCGTGAATAACCCAGAAACCCTCCAAAGGCTGCTATAAGCATGGAAAAGAAGGAGAAAAAGATTTCTAGCATGCAGATGTCGATAGATTGTGGATTTTCTCAATTCAATATATTCGAAAACCCCAAATTGGAGATATAACCCCACTACAACTGCTTGGCGCCCAGGTAGGCTAGGTTTTATTAACTGAGTAGTTATAAATCTGTCTTCGTTGCATAGTATATTGTTAATCAATAGTTGAATTAATGTGTAGTCCTTCGTGCACCGAATAAGAGAATTATTATGGCCTGTGATTCTAGCTAT